GAAATTAATTTTTTTTTATTTTTTTTTTTTAATAATTATTTTTATTTTTTTGTTACATAGACAACAATGGGAAAGGGAGAGGATGGAGAGAAAAAAAAAGGGGGGGGGAGGGAAAACCCATCTTCACATACAATATGTCGTTTAATCACAGGTGCATCCCTACTAAGTTTATACATCCCATATCTCTCTATTGTATATTTAATAAGCACCACAATAAGCTAGATGTTAAGCTATTCTTGTCTCTGGGTTGTTCTGCCCTTCTGAATTCCCTTCTTTTAGTTTCTAACTCCGCAAAATTAAATCTTATGTTAAAGTTAGGAATTAGGTATTTTGGCTTAAGAGGAGATCATCTCCAACTTTTGTTCAAGTAGACTTTAACGCACTCTTATATTTTCATTAATATAGTTTCTCAAACAGCTCAATTAAAAAGTGCCTGGCCATTTTCTGAATGTATGCAAAATTAGTTCTCTCATTTTTGCTCCTGTTCTAATCAGATTACCTTCTATATGTTTTTTTTCCTCCAAACTGCATTGTCAGAATTTAAAACTGGTGGGAAGGATGCAGCTATGAAGGAAGAAAGCACAGGGCTCTTCCAGTCACCCTTTGCACCTTCAAAAGGAAGGCCCAGTCTCTGTACGTTAAGCTATGTTATAGTTTGTTTAGTAGTATCTGTCGTAGGGTTTTAATGCTATTGCACAAGTAACTTGGTTCCTGGATGAAAACCCAGGGCAACTACTATGTAGGCAGGAAATTGACATGTTGCATAACCATCCCTTTCTTATGACTGACAATTAAAAATACATAGAAAAGTTATGATATGAAGAATTCAGGGATGTTGCATGACGATACTGCAGTCTTATATAAAATGTAGTAATCCAGGAAGATCCCAGACATTTTTGTAAGAGAATGTTATTTAACATTGGGAGGCCACAGGCCCTGTCTAAGGATGCTGTAAGAGTCACGCTGCTTGAGGACATCATAGGGTCTGGCAGCGTGAATCTTGTAGCCTTACGCCCCAATCCACAGAATGGTTTTACAGCATTCCGTCCCAATCCACAGAACACTCACCTGGAGCACAGGGCGAGGGGGGTTTGGTAAGTGCTAGGGCTGCAGTGCTCCCAGGAGAAGGGGGTTTGGCAGCATTCAGCTCATTGTGCAGGTCGGGGTGTTCTGGGGAAGAAGCTGAGCTGCGCTGGCGTGGGGAACGACCACTCCATTCTTCCAAACCGCTCGCTGCGGCTGCCGTGGCGGAGCTGCAAGTAGCACTGGCTTTGCGGGGCTGAGGGAAGAAGAGCAGGGGAGCTTGTCAAGGGACTATGGCCTTTTTTTAAAAAAAAATTCCCATTGCCAAAAATGGACTAGCTACTCATGCCCATGCCCGCAGTCCTGCAGGGACCCCGAGTTATCCTGACAGCTCTTATTTGCCTCCTGTGCAAAGAAAAGAGAGCCAAACCTGTCTGGCCTGCTTTTCCTGGTCGCGCAGCCATTGCAAATAAGACTCTCTGGCAACCTGTTCTTCGATGGCCTCATTGGTGGCTTCCCAGTCGGTCGCTCGCTTTTTATCCTCCAGCATCTGCTGCTCGATCCAGGACTCCTCTGAGGTCTTGATGGCATTCTTCATCAAGGATTGCTCTGCATACTACAAGGAGCAAAAGGGGATTTAGCAAGAGCGGCGCAGTCCTAACAACTCGAAGCCTTCCCCCCCCCCCCCCCTTAAACAGAGAAGCTGCAACATGTGAATATCCCTCCAAATACCAGCGGTGGCGCAGAATAGGAAGCATTTGCCCAGTGGTCCCCTAGGGAGAACAGACAGGTGTTCAGTTTCTCCCTGATACAGGGAAGAGATGGATTAAATCACCATAAACAGTATAGAAGCAGCCTTAGAGAATGGTTCCTTTGCTAGATCTGGGAAGGAGACCGATGGTGGTCTCCTAGCAGCTGAGGGGTCAGGCTGGAACTGTTTCTAAACCATGGGAGCTTGAAGATATGTGGACTTCAAATTTCCAGAATTCCCCAGCTGGCATGAGAGGATGGGCTAGACCTGCTTGGCCAGGTGGTTACATGAGAAGTGTATAGAGCAATCAGGGTGACTACGGTAGTAAGCCATGATTTGAACAGATTTTCTTGCCCCTACAGGATGTGTGGGACCTCTGACCTATGCACTGCAACAATGTGCTTCTCAACCTTGATGACTGGCTGGTGTCATGTATGAACATGCTGGCTGCGGAATTCTGGGAGCTGTAGTCCACACATCTTAAGTCATCAAGCCTGTAAAACACTGCACTACAGCTTAAAAAGAGCTATCTGTTTTAAAATGTGTTTTTGAAGACAGAAAAAGTAGGGTCAAATTAATTGTTATCAAATGTGACCAAGCTCTATTGGAGCAACTGTTTTATTCTTTGGGAAAGAGGTTCATATGTTAAAGCTCCTCCAAATCTTGGCTGCAGTCCTCCCCCAAAGCATCCTTCATTCCAAATGTTGCCGTCAACATATATTTTTGAATGAGACAGAAAGGGAAAATAGTAACATGATTACAAGGAAAACAATTATAAGATAGTCACAGTTAAGTACTTGAATTAAGTTAAAATTCCATCAATATTAGAGGGTCCAGCTATTATTTAATCTTAGACATGTCCATTTTTTTTGGAATGCAGCTCCAAAAGCCAAATGTAGACCTTACACCCCACCCCCTCCAAACTTTGTGTGTCCATATTGGAAAGTTGTGCTCACAAAACACATTATGAAAGTTTCTCATAAGCCTCCTTATAAAATTCTCTTCGCCCCAATCTTCCAAAGCCGGACTATTATCCTGGATAATAGTGAAGCTAATAGTCCAGGTCATGCAGAATAAGAATGGAGCAGGACATTGGCCCCCAACCTTTTGCCCATCCTAAAAAGCCCCCCGATGTCGACCAGGAAAAACTCACCCCTGGCTTGAAGGAGGGCAGCCCTAGTCCCACCCCAATGGTAGCCTTGTTGGGGTTCACCACGGAGTTGTAATGTATGTTGCGGTGATAGCTCACCCGGATGGGTTCATCCTCATTCTGATGGATGCCATGGAAAGTATTGATGGGCTCTGGAAGGGGAAAAAAAATGGCAGGACAGGATGGGTGACCTCTTCTATAGGACAGGCAGGGAAGCAACAACTCCACTTGCCCGGATGGATGTACAGAAGAATCAGGGATGCAACTGAAACAGGGGAAACAGGTGCCTATACCTGTGCCATACTGGTAAACCTCCACAGGTCGGTTGTACATCTCTGCCATAGCCTGCATCTCAATATGGTTGCCATGACAGTTGTTTTTCCGTTTGCGGTTAATGTAAGTGGTGAAATCTTCTGTCACGTAATTGGAGAAGTAGTCGGCATTCTTCATCTGAAACAAGGGAGGGCCTCGAGATGAGAGGGAAGCAGACAATCTCCCAGGTGGGCAAAAGAAGCAAGGGCAGGGCGATGGGTTTCCAAAGAAGGGCTCTCAATATAAATCCCTGACGCTTTATCCAGTCAGTGGAAAAAGGGGCTCCCCGATCAAGGGGTGTCACTGGAGCTCACGCAGCGGGAGCCATGTTTCAACAAGGCCACCTGTACAACTGAGTTGATCCAGAGACATGGGAAGTGTTGGGGGGAGGGAGGGAGGGGGAAGCAGCTTCTGCTCCAGCATACTCAAAGCAATTGTGCAGAATCGTTTCCCTTTCAATTGTGCAAGGCCAGCGCTGCCCCCCCCCCATTGCTTGCAAACCATTCACAGATGTCTGCTTGAACCTCAACTTTTAGAAGCAGCTGGTCAATACAGAATTTAGACTTGACACCTTCTGATCCGTGCTAGCAAATTTGGGGGGTGGGGGGGGGGGAATTGGGGGTGGGG